TGTTCATTTTCCATAATGTAAACAATTCCTATTCCTGAAGCATTAGTGGTATAACCCACTAACCGATTTCCTGTGAAGGAACCTAATATCATGTACAGCCAACAACCAAACTGTATTCCAAGTTCTGATCACACATTTTACATGAAGTTCAGGATAGCTGCAGCCTAAAACTTGGAGGCATCTTACTTACTGTGCTATGTGAAATTAAATACTGTTGATGTTTGATTGAAAAATATTGATTAGAAGAAGGGTGGGCAGAAGGTAGATCTTCTGAATTTCAACACCCAGAAGCCCCTGCCAATGGCCAGGAATGCTTGGAACTTAAGTCCAAAACATCTGGAGAGCTGCTTCTAGGTTACTCCTCGTTTAGAGGACCCATAAATGGAAGAGGAAATCAGTACACAAGTGTTAGAAGGAGGTATACAAGTGCACAGTATGCTCCATATCCTTCAGTTGATCATCTGCAAAGTAAGATCATAACACCTGAATTTAGCCATAGGGTTGATTCACATGTAATGCAACGCACAACTGTACCTAAGCACTTCCTCCTCCAATTCTCTTACTTCCTGATTTGTCACAAGCTTCAGCAAGTCTTGCTTTTGAATAATGATGCTTAGGACTGGTAAATATTTTAGGAGGGCTTCTAGTCAGGAGGATCTAGTACTAGTATTAAGAATACAGCTTTTCCATCTTTTCCTGATTGTTTGCATTATGATAGGAAAAAGATGGATGAAGCAGTAAGAAAGCCAAATAGGGTCATGAGTAGAAAACATAATTTATTCATTAAAGTTCCATAAATGAGACAATGTGCCATAGAAGTCTCATTTGGAATTACTCTTATTTCACTGACAATCAGTTCCAGATCATAAACACTCCTAGACTCATAAACAGCACAAATACCATCACTTTGCTGGGATGAGGGTCCCTCCATTTGCAAATCAGCATTGCTTACATTTTGATAAGATGTCCAGGTAAATTTCTGCTGTCCTGCTTATGGGACATTTCTTACATAGACTGAAGCACACAGCTTGCTCAGTGCTAAGCAAGGTGCGAGAAGACCCATACTCTAAAATAGTTTTCCACTTATGGAACTTTTCAGAACTCATGGTTCTGAACCCAAGAAGTATTCACATAATATGAAGCACGTTGCTTCAGATTATATTAAATATAATATCAACTGTTCAGACTTGGGTTTTTCATAGTTATGTCTGTCAGAAACCTTCAAAAAATATAAATGTTTTGGCTTTAGTAAAGTGGAAGTATTTGATAGGAATCAAAGACTACTATAGATAAGCTATCCACATATTGCTCAGTTCTTTAATATTTGTGATCTTTAAAATATGTGACAATCTCCTTATGCCACAAACTGAATGTAGCATACCCATGGAGTGCACGGCACCTACTTTTTCAGCTGGAGCCAGATTTGGCTGCAATAGAGGTAAGTGCAGTCCTAGAGGAGATCAACCCTGACTGCTCTTTAGAAGGCCAGATCCTGAAGATGAAACTCAAATACTTTGGCCACCTAATGAGGAGGAAGGACTCCCTGCAGAAGAGCCTAATGCTGGAAACAATAGATGGCAAAAGAAGAAGGGGACGGCAGAGGATGAGGTGGCTAGATGGAGTCACTGAAGCAGTTGGTGTGAGCTTGAGTGGACTCCGGAGGATGGTGGAGGACAGGAAGGCCTGGAGGAATGTTGTCCATGGGGTCGCGATGGGTCAGACATGACTTCGCGACTAACAACAACCACAACAGAGGTAAGTGAGGGCAATGAGGGAGTTAATAAGGGTGAGAAATCTGCTTCCTGACTTTTGGAGGGCAGGCATGGAAATACAATATAAGGACATTTTACAAAGCTGATAAAAGAAGAGAGGGAATTCACAGTATTCCTTTGACTATATAGAGCTTGTGGGAGTTGAAGTCCAAATCTCTGGAAGGCAGCAGGTAAGGGAAGCATGGCATAAAGAAGTTATCTATTTTCCTTCTGAATGAGGCCCTTCCCTTCAGACCCCAAAGTACTTAAGTCATTCAATATTTAATACCATCACAACTTAAAGTGAAGGCGAAAACAAACAGCTTAAGCCTCTTCTAAAGATAGATTTGCATGACTGAAAAAATACTTAGTTGGTGCTAGCAGCTTCCAAAGGCCTGTTTGCTTATCTTTCAATTGACTAAAAATGTTTTATGAAAAGAAAACAAATCCTCCCCCCACACACACACAACCCCCGCATAGATAATCCTATACCCACTGCCTTTTTTGAGAACGGCACGGCATATTATATTCTCAAATTGGAAAGGTTTAAATGAGACATACATTTTTTAAAAAATAATTTTTCAACAGAATTGCAATATACGTTATTTCTCCCATTAATTCTGAAAGAAACAACTGAAAGTCTTTTATTTCTTTCTCTTTTTTTAAAAAACAAGTTGGGTTTCTATGTAGCATAGACTGAACAAGAATCAGCTTTTACCCCAAGAAACTTAAAGGTTTGTCCAATACAACCCCCAAAAAATCACAAGCCACCAATATATTTTTGTCCTATCATTATGCTGACAGCTGTACTATGATATCAGGCTGAAGCCATTGTTTGTGTTTTCCAAACAACACGAAAACATACTTGACCTAGATCTTGTGCATGTGTGTTAACATCATAGTCAACATAAAATGACAGGGTCAAAAGACAAACAGGAAAAAGAGTTTTAAAACAATCATTACATCTGAAACTAGGCAAACAAGAAGACAGTATAGTTTTACTTAGAGTGAAATTTGAACCTGAGATCTGTCAAGCATTCCCTTCATGTTTTTCCACCAGCCACTATTAGCAAGAACTTAATTTTCTTCAGGTTTTGAAAAAGACAAACTGAGAAAAGTACCTCGTTAAGAGAGTACAGGATTCCAACACAACAATTGCTTATATTGATTTTTATACTGATCTTTAAAATATGGGCTAGCCAAGAGAAGAGAGCTTTAGGAAAAACTCTTAATGGACAAACCCATGAGTCCTAACAAGACATTTTTCAATCAGCCATGCTGATGGGTGAATGCTGAGAGGTGTAGGATTTTTTTTCTGTCTAAACATACTTGGGATTGCCCCATTAGCTTCTTTGCTGAACAACTATGTGTTGCATCCCATACTATACCACATATTACTATACTGAACATGGTGAGTAAGCCTATTTCAGTAGAAATCCCTCCAGTCAGAAAAAAAGTATAACCCTGAACAACTCTGCAGTCAGATAATCTGCCACTAAGAAAATGGTTTTTGAATTATGAAGAAAGGATGTCCTTCTAACGAGATGCAGAATGTTCAAGTACATAACAGGAATCGGAAACAGGAGTATTCCTTCCCATCAGCCTTGCTGGTTGAATATAGATCCATATAGCATCTATATCCCCCATTTAACTGCATTGGCCCAAATTTTTCTAGGAAAAGTTGCAGCTTTATTCCAAGTACATTTCCAGTACATGGTTTAGGAATGATCTTACAGAAAGTCCATTCTCTTCTAATGTATTCCATCTGGGCACATGGCAGCATATCAAATCCTTGTATGCTTACCTATATAACAGATGGCAGATATCAAGATTTGGGGGGTGGGAGGTAAGTGTTTAAAAGGAAATGACTCCTGATTTCAAGATTTTTTTTAAAAGAAATTGCCCTAAAGGCCAGATAGTTTATCCACCTATTAAGTAGAAAGAGAATATGTGAAGGAATGGAGATAACCTACCAAACATATAGGCTAACATCAGTCCTCTATGACTTTACTTTTAAAGAAAACTTAGTCTCCACAGTCCACTATGCCGTAAACTTTACAAAGGAAGAGTGAATATCAAGGATCTGTTTAACACTTAGGCTTAAGTAACTTGTGTTAAGTGATCCTGCATATATAATCTTGTATAACATAGGAAATGCTTTGCTGGAACCTATCAAGGTCTCCTGATCTGGACTTCCTTTGCAAGAATCATCACAGGTAGTCCTCTCAAAAAAAGTCCAACAAAGGACTGACAACACTACACTGTCTTCTGCTTCTGCATCTCTTTCCCACAGTATGGGCAGCTACAGTAACTGACCGCGAGTAGAAGCAAACAGGAGAAAGGGCTCTGTGTGCTCTCAGGAATCAGGTACTACTGGAAGCAGTGTTTTGTTTCTAATTTCATAGACTACTAGAGACCTCAAGACTGATGAAATCTAAAACATAACACATTGCCTCTCCATCTCTGCAACAGAAAATGAAAAGATGGACATTTAGTTTGTGTGCTTGGAACAACTAAATTTGATACTCCTATTTTTAAGCATCTATAATAGCATTCTTACGGCCTATAAGTTTGTTTGTTCTGGATTTCTTCTTTGCCTTCTTCCTGGTCCAAGAGCTCGGGCTAGGCGACGCCGGGAGGCTCCTTTAGGCACAATCTTATGCAAGTTAAAACAGACAACGGCCCTAAAATTCACAGTACGTTGAGGGTTCACAGGCCTTTTCCCTTGCCTGTCACATACCTTCCTTTTATCTCTCCCCCCACCCCGCTCCCGAAGTCAAGCAACTCCTGAAATGCAGAAGCGATTCTGTCTTCTCAGATTCCTGTTGACACTCGGCCAATGCTCTACCTCACCTCTCGCCCCGGGGTTAGTCATCCGGAGTATAGTTAAAACAAGAGACTTGCTCGCAAACCAGGGAGAGAAGGAAGCAACCGAGTGGCGGGGGCAGGGAGGAGACTACAAAGCCAATGTAGCATCTGTGGGCGAGCTAGGAATTTACCCCGGCACATTTTCCCCCAGCACGTTTCCAAATCTCCCATCGCAACTGGCAAGGCGCGGAGACGCAAAATCAGCGGCTCGCGGGCAAAATACACGCAGCAAATGTACCGGAGGCGCGTGCAGGGTGGGGACGGGTGGGTGAAGACGGCGGAGGTGGCGGGGGCAAGGGGCTCGGCTGTCCCTCGCTGGCCGAGGCGGGGTGGGGGCAAGGGGGAGCGGGGAGTCTTCGCGGCGCGCGGGAGCCCACTCACCGGGACGGTGGATGTAGGGACAAGCGCAGGGGCCCCCCGGTCCCGCGGCAGGGCGCAGAGGGGGCGGCGGGGCGGCGGCAGGCATGGTCCGCGCGGTGCCTTCGCTCCCCTCCTCGCCGCCGCCGCCGCCGCGCTGCCGCCGGCTGAGCGAGCTCTGGCAACTGCGGCGGCGGCAAAGCAACGCCTCCTCCGCCCGAGAGGCTGGTCAGCTCCACAGAGCGCCCGGGGGAGAGAGGAGGCGCCAGAGCCCCACGAGTTCGCCCGCCCGCCCTGCGCGAGGCGGGCGGGCGCCCGCTGGCCTTGCGCCGCCTCGTCCCCGCACCTCGACCTCCCGGCCTTTTCCTGCCCCTTGACCCGAACTTTTATTTCCCAGACCAGGTCAGCCCTTCTCCGAGGACTCAGCTGAGTCCCAGGACCATGCTAACGGTGAGTGGGGCTTGGCTCTGCCTGCGAGGCCGCACTGCAAGGCAAGGTGAAGCCCTATCCCCGTCTGAGCCTGATGAATTTCTGCCTGCCACCCGGCAGTTGAAGACTCATAAGCCCCGGCAACCAGAGAGTATGTCTAATTGTGTGGAAAGGCAGGATTTTAATGGAATCACTGATGGATAAATCCATTCAAGCACTAGGACTCCTGCAATTTCCCTCCTACCAGTTCTTCCGTGTCTTTTTACCAGCTCTGTGACAGGCTAAAAACTCTACTGCTTTCCTAGCATTGCCTTCTTTGGGAATGGATTCTCCTGTTGAATGCCTGCCTGCAACTGCCGAAGGTGGGCACACCCATGCTCCTTTCATGGGAATACAAATGTGGCAGACTTACATCTGACCTGCTGCTGAGCTCCAGTGTTTAAGGGCTATGCCACTCTTAGGCGGATATTTAATAAGTGTGGCTTCCCTGCCATTAAAGTGCAGTCATGAAGAAGCTTCACTTGTTGAGTGCCTCCTTGTCACGTTGCCAATGTGAAAAACACAGAAGAGAAAGACAACACAGGACTCTATTTTCCTCTTGCCCTCTTTTGCTCTGTAGCTACATTGTCATTTTAAAGTGTCAGACTTTAAGAAGATTATCAGACCATAAGAAGACTATCTATATACAGAAGGGTTAATTAATAAGGTAAGTGTTTTTCAGGTGAACATTAGTAAAAGAACATACTTGCTTTTATTTGAGCTATGGCTATTTAATGCTGCTGGACTATGCAGATCATTCAGTAATTTTAGACTCTGGATTTACTAGTCCCTGTGCATTGCTTCAATATATGCTAAGCCCTGCTGTGTTTGGGAACCCGCCTATTCATCCTGCTAAGTGGCTCCCTGGACTTCATCCAGCTAAAGTTCTGTTAAATTTCATAGGCAGAGTGGGAGAGGATGGAAGAGTAAGCTTGCGTCCTCCCTGTTCACCATTGCTCAGCTTCTCATTTCAGCTCCTCCATCACTGAGGCCCCACTGCCTTTCTCCAGTCCTGAACCAAGAGGAGCGAAGTGAGAATATTGCCAGAGAAAATTAGACCGAAGGAAAAATTCCATAAACATCAGACTCCTGGATTGGTCCTAGGTGCAAGTGATTTCTTTGATCTAACTAAACCAGACTCACTATTTTCAGTCTTCTAGGCTCCAAATCCTTCTTTACTTGCAACATTTTGGAAAAAGAAAAATTCTGGAAAATTTAAATTGCCAGTTGAAAAGCTTCGGATTATATCCAGTGGAATATACCCAATGAAACTGTTGCATTCAAAACATGGTGCTGGAGGAGCGCTTTGCAAATAACATGGACTGACAGAAACAAGTGGGTCCTGGATCAAATCAAGCCAGAGCTTTTCCTAGAAGCAAAAACGACAAGACTGAGGCTGTTGTACATTAACTATATTACAAGAAGGCAACATTCCCTGCAGAAGACAATCGTGCTAGGAGAGTTGAAGGCAGAAGAAGAAAAAGAACGAAAAGGCCAAACGAAGAAGAGGCCAAACAAGAAATGGATTGACTCCATAAAGGAAGCCACAGACTTGGCTGAGTTTAGTACAACTCAGCAGGGATGTCATGGATAGGACATGTTGGAGGGCTTTCATATATAGAGTCACCACAAATCAGAGACAACTTGACGGCACACCACCACCACAAGCCATTCAATACATTCCATGCAATTAGATAAAATTCTTTGAACATGACATTAGTCTGAGCATTTAGGACTGTGAGACTTCTGTGGGTAACTGGAGAGTGAACAGAAAAGACAGTCAAGCTTTAACACTTAAAATTGTAATGTTTAAGTTTAGTCAGCAAATTAAAGCTAAAATTGATGTGTATATTCATAAACAAAGTATTTATCAATTGCGTCTTTCATGGTGCAATTGAAAGACAATCCAACACCTTGTGGTGCCTGAAATAGAAAATCCATACATTATTTCATTTACACATCTATTTACACTGAGCAAGTCTCCAAGGCAACTCAGTGGCACCAGCAGTAGTAGTAAACTATTTCTTTTTTGATAGCCCAAAAATTTGTCGCTGAGGTGAGCTGTTTCCTCATCCTAGTGGTAATTTTGGCCATAAAGTTGTTAGACCAATTTGTTGCTATAGCGATCACCCAACACTATATCTCCATTTAGCCTTTCATGGTCACTTGGTTACTTTCATTTCCTACCAAGGATGACTAACTGTTCCACCCCCATTCTTTGTTATTCTGTCAAGCAAAGAGCATAGCAATTATGGAGCAATGTTGGCTTGTGACCTCCCACTCATTAAGGATGGCTGGAGTAAAAGTACCTAGCATAATTTATTGGATGGTGCAACATCCCAATCAACTTTGGAGGAAAGCAGTAATTAGATTTCGCTTTAGGATCATCATCGAAAGTTGGAAGGATTTAAACAGGAGAAAGACAGTACAAGATATGTTACATAATATTATGTTATTCACGAAGTCATGCCCAACTCATTGTGACCCCATGGACAACATTCCTCCAGGCTGTCCTGTCTTCCACCATCCCCCAGAGTCCATCCAGGCTCACACTGACTGCCTCAATGACTCCATCCAGCCACCTCATCCTCTGCTGTCCCCTTCTTCTTTGGCCATCAATTGTTCCCAGCATTAGGCTCTTCTCCAGTGAGTCCTTATTTCTCATTAGGTGGCCAAAGTATTTGAGTTTCATCTTCAGTATCTGGCCTTCTAAAGAGCAGTCAGGGTTGATCTCCTCTAAGACTGACTGGTTGATCTTGCATACTGCTGGAGCCTAGCTTGTAGGATTTTGAGCATAACTTTGCTAGCATGTGAAATGAGTGCAATGGTGCGGTAGTTTGAACATTCTTTGGCATTGCAGTTCTTTGGAATTGGAATGTAAACTGACCTTTTCCAATCCTGTGGCCACTGCTGAGTTTTCCAATTTGCTGGCATATTGAATGTAGCACTTTTACTGCATTGTCTTTTAGGATTTTGAATAGCTCAGCTGGAATACTGTTGCCTCCACTAGCTTTGTTGTTTCTAAGACTTCCTAAGGCCCTTTTGACTTCACATTCCAGGATGTCTGGCTTGAGGTCAGCAACCATCATTGTGGTTATCAGGAACATTAAGGTCTTTCTTATATAGTTCTTCTGTGTACTCTTTGCCTCTGTTACGTCCCTGCCATTTTTGTCCATGCCCATCTTTGCATGAAACGTTCCCTTCATATCTCCAATTTTCTTGAAGAGATCTCTGGTCCTCCCTATTCTATTGTTTTCTTCTATTTCTTTACACTGTTCATTTAAGAAGGCATTCTTATCTCTTCTAACTATTTTCTGGAATTTTGCATTCAATTGGGTGCATCTTTCCCTTTCTCCCTTGCCTTTTGCTTCCCTTCTTTCCTCAGCTATTTGTAAAGTTTCCTCAGACAGCCATTTTGCTTTCTTGCATTTCTTTTTCTTTGGGATGCTTTTAGATGCTATTTCTTGTACAATGTTGCAAACCTCCATCCATAGTTCTTCAAGCACTCTGTCTATCAGATATAATTCCTTAAATCTATTTGTCACCTCTACTGTATATTCATCAGGGATATGATTTAGGTCATACCTGAGTGGCCTAGTGCTTTTCCCTACTTTCTTCAATTTAAGCCTAAATTTTGCAACAAAAACCTCATGATCTGAGCCACAGCCAGGTCCTGGTCTTGTTTTTATTGACTGTACAGAGTTTCTCCATCTTTGTCTGCAGAGCACATAGTCAATCTGATTTCTGTGTTGACCGTCTGGTGATGTCCATGTGTAGTCTTACCCAAGTCTCTTGGGTTGTTGGAAAAGAGTGTTTGCTATGACCAGCATGTTCTCTTGACAAAATTCTGCCAGGCTTTTCCCTGCTTCATTTTGTACTCCAAGGCCAAACATGGCTGTTATTCCGGTTATCTTTTGGCTTCCTACTTTAGCATTCCAATCCCTCATGATGATAAGGACATCAATTTCTAGAAGGTGTTGTAGGCCTTCATAGAACTGGTCAACTTCAGCCTCTTCAGCACCAGTGGTTGGGGCATGGACTTGGACCATTGTGATGTTGAATGGTTTGCCTTGGATTCGAACTGAGATCATTCTGTCATTTTGGAGATTGTACGCCAGTACTGCTTTTCCTACTCTTTTATTGACTATGAAGGCTACTCCATTTCTTCTGAGGGATTCTTGCCCACAGTAGTACACCTGATGGTCATCTGAATTAAATTCACCCATTTCTGTTCATTTTAGTTTGCTGATTCCCAAGATGTCGATGTTCAGTCTTGTCATCTCATGTTTGACCATGTCCAGCTTACCTTGATTCATAGATCTTACATTCCAGGTTCCTATGCAGTATAGATCATTACAGCATCGGACTTTCCTTTCACTACCAGATACATCCGCAACTGGGTGTCTTTTCGGCTTTGACCCAGTCGCTTCATTCTTTCTGGAGCTGCTAGTACTAGTCCTCTGCTCTTCCCCAGTAGCACATTGGACACCTTCCAGCCTGAGGGGCTCATCTTCTGGCATCATATCTTTTTGCCTTTTGGTACTGTCCATGGGGTTTTCATGGCAAGGATACTGGAGTGGGATCACCTTTTGTCAGAGCTCTCTGCTATGACCTGTCCATCTCGGGTGCCCCTGCATGGCGTAGCAAGCC